TCTTTAATATTTTTCATAAAAGAGAAATTATAAATTAAAATTTAGAAATTATAAAATAAAATCGAGAATCATTTGAGTTTCAATAATTAAATTTGAAAAACTTTGAAAGAAATTAAAGACCCTAAAAAATAAATATTTTAAATTTATATCTGGCTAAATTTTTAGATACAATTTTAGATACTTCAGCAAAAATATTTTTTTATGTAGAATTTCAATATGATATCTTTATTTTCTCGTGGCTCAAAAAAAAATATCTGCACCACAATCGCTGTTCTTCCATCCGCAAATTCACATGTAACGTTACAAGTATGTTCATATGCGACGATTTGACGAAATGGAGCAGGTTTAAGAATAAGAATAAGAATTTTCGTAGTCAGGTGTACGTTATAGTTTATATATAGAGGCAGATGTTTTTACGCGGCAAGAGTATAAAGTGACGAAAACTACGGGGAGAGCTCGCTCGTTCCTCCGCCATTCGAAGTCTCCTTCTTGTAGCTACTAAAAAGTTTGTTACCTTTTTAGGGGGTATTGTCTCCGGTAAAGCGAGGGAGATAAACGCCGAGGGTTAAAGAGGGTTTTCACGCGAGCCAGCGCGAGATAAGGCAGGGGGATGGGAAATGGGCGTCGCTACGACGTACGACGGAATAGATGCCGATAAGAGCAATCCTGAGGGTGCGTTTCTACATAGCATGACCTAAGTGTCGACGAGGAGAATGCACGATAAAGATCGCCGAGGGGCGAGGGGATGAGAGAAGTCGGGCGTGATATTATTAGCGCGTAACTCACGGAAATAATATAGTCGTAATGCGCGCCCCGCATGTGCGTTACATCACGAAAAGTTATTATTAAGGCAGACTGGCACGGGAAATAAAAATTTTCGTAACGCGCTCTAATTTGCCCGGAGAACGTCATTTGCGTGACGCGACGATTTAATTTCACGTGTAAGAGAAGAGAAGTTTATGTTAACCGAGAAATCTACCTCGCTTCTCTCGTCGTCCCTCCCTTCCCCCCCCCCTCCTCTGTTCCTGTTACGGTGGCGCACGTTTCGCAGGGCGATATCACCGCCTGATAAAGGGGTACAACGACCAAACGCCGCTGGAGATCACATCTGCGAATAATGCAACCTCCTCCGAAATAACATCGTCATGATTTACCACGGCGAAAGATAATCAACAATTCCAATTCTCGACCGTTACCCCGATCCTTATCGTAGACAAATTTACCGAGGATTTACCCACGTATTTCTGTCGTTGACTTACGGCGACTCTTCCGCGTTGGCGAACGATCAAATTGACTTTTATACGGAGGAAGGATAATTTCGCAAGAGATAATCCGAGAGATTAATAATTTCATGGACCTCTTCTACCTCAAGAAGATGTAGAAAAAAATATATAAGAAAAACTGATTGCTCACTAAAAACTAGTTTTTATTCTTTTGAATCTACAGGACGGTAACTCGTAATATTTCGTCTAGCATTTTCTGGTTAATAACTAATCAGAAATTAGCCAGATATAAATGGTCAGTAAATATCAACTAATTTCTGGTTGTCAAAGTGTACTCTTTGAAAAGCGTAAAAAAAAAAATTCCTTTTTTACTACTATATATATCTTAATCGTTATTATGTTATTCGTGTGACGTCGATGGCGCTCGTTGCGATATTTTTCTGCGCGCGTATCCGTGACCTATTTAGACCCTCCTCTTCCAGATATACAGCGCAAATATTCGCGCATAATGCGCAATGTACGCGACACGGCGATCCACCGAGAGTCACGGTAGCTCCGCGCCACATTAAATTGCATTTGTTATTCTCGCGACACACCGTCGCAAATACATTTCGTCGACGGTAACGCTAATCTACACTCTCACGATGAATGTGCTCAGGCAGTACGCCTCATCAATCACACTTGCGAGAAAAGTACCCCGGCCTCTCCAGAGGAACTGATTTTCATTAAATTGATATACCGATTCTCCGTATCTCCCGCGAACCTCCGGCAGCCGTTATTTCCATAGCAGATGTTTGCTCGCGTGCGTCAGAAGTTAAGAGAATCAAAACCTGGTACATTAATAAACGTACACGAAGAAATGTATTATCAACGGATCTTCTCGCTAGACATATTAATTTTATTAAAATACTTAATTGTCTTAAAATCCCCCCGATAAAGTCGTCTCGCCGGAAAAGCCTTTCCGAAAACCATGTCAATAAATTTACAACGCGGTCATTAATCAATCAATTTTTCCCATTTGAAGGCAAATCTAGGATGCGCTTAATTGATCATTAACGAATATCCATGAGCTGTTTATTAATTTTTTTCGTTAATTCTCTTCCGATTTATGAGATGCAGAAAAGTTAAAAGCATTTGAAGAATTTTATCAATTTATTTAATCGCGGTTTCACCGTCGGCCAATATATTTACGGCTGAAATATTGAGCAAGAGGGAGGGGAGATAGGGAGTAGGGCGTAGACGAGGCAGAAATGGGCAAGAGGTAGATGATATCGGGTCTCGGAAATACTGTAAGCAGAGTTGTATTGGGGTAGACCTCCGTTGCTATTGTCCGCAGGCGTGCGGGCGGACCTTTCTAAGATCCAGTCTGATTTTCCCAGGACAAAGCGTCGGCGACGAGGCTGCCAACAGGGGAATGCACAATTACACACGCGTCGTCTGCTCCGCCTCGTCTGCTAAGAAACCTTAATTAACGCGAGCTTTCGACGACGTCTCGTCGCCGAAGTACATCTCGTTCCTAAGCGCGAGGGGAGGGGGAGGGGGAGAGCCCCTTTCTTTCCCCCGTCGCGACACGGTAATCCCTTAATGCGTTTACGATTAATCGCGAATCAACTTCCCGCGTAGCGCAATCGAAATAACACGGGCGAAATAATAGAGATATAGATGATGAAATTACATTACAGAGCGAAACGAAATGATGAGAATGGAAAAAAGCTCCTCGATCTATGAAGCTTCATTTTATGACGATATTTCCAATCTTGAAGAGAGTAACGGAGATGATCTTTTTTTTTTAGATACGTGCCTTTTCTTTCAGGTGTTCCATTTTGTACGATCGACCCTTAACCCGATTGTAACTTCGAATCCGACGTTTCTTCTAGTGGTTGTCACCCACTCCGGAATATCGCACTCGTAGATCCCGATTGAAGAAGCGATTCCGCGGCGTAAGAACAGGGCGCATTATGTGCTCTGCATTATGGAGGTCGTTCGGTCATCCGAGAATGTCAGGGCGTTACATAAAGGCCGTTACCAGGCACACGATGGACGGCGAGGATCGTCGGGGCGAAGAGACGCTCTGATCCTTCTCCCTCATTGCGCACCAGGCCCGAAAAGGTCAAACGTGAGGGAGAGATACGCGCTCCTGGCATTCGACAGGCACTCAACAAATGAAGCTTGGCAACGATCTTCCCGAGCACCGAAAGAAAATGCGAATTTCGAGCCTGACGCTTGCACTGTTGAATATTAAAACATCAAATTTAAATCGATTTCTTCACAAAAAAATTAGTCTTAAATCAAGAAAAATATTGTCATATATAGGCAAGAATATTATAATCTTCTTAAAAATTTTAGTCTTGATTTGAATTTGTATTGATGCAAATATTACTTTTGCTCAACTCAAGATTAAAAATCTTTTACATGAAGATTATAATATTTTTGCTTATATGTAAGAATATACAGTCTTGATTTAAGACATAATTTTTTTTTCTGTATTGGACTGAATAATATCTAGTTATTTGAGTCAGATTTTAATGATATTTTTTGAATTATTTATCTCAATCATTTTAGTTAAATGATTTAATTTGTTATTTATGTTTGTATTTATATGTTGAATAGAAGTAGTAACGATCTAAAAACAATAATAAATTTTATTTAATTTAATATTACAAATTTCATAATATATGTCAGATTTGTCATTTAAAATATATGCCTTTTAAAAGCGATCTGACTAAAAAATCGAATTTAATTATATTGGAAATTTTCTTCGTGAATAAATTACTAACCCTGATAAATTAAAAACTTAAGTGTCTTTTAAAAAATTGACAAATTAATGATCTTGATGAAAGCAACGAATAGTTGTCGAACATCTAACGAAATAAAAATTCAAGTATTTTATTTCTTTGGACCGTTCCGACAGCTGGAACGGTCTCTCGGAGCTTTGGGCTTTCATCCCTTTCTCTTTCGATAACTACATACGTACACATAAAAATAGCTAGTAACCTCTTCAGGTAAAGGGCTCCTGAGGGAGCTACGTTAGAAGCACGTGCCGTGAATTTTGGATATGGTTCCGGGCGCATCCTTCGTCATCCCCCCCCTTCTCCCCTCGGTACGGGCGACGTCGCCAATATTCGAAGTTCTGAATCCAGCTCTCGTCCTTTTTACCCCATCCGCCCGATTACGATCGTGTTGTCTCTCAAAATCTATAGACGACGTCAGCAAGATGTCCAATGTTCATGACGGCGACGATAAAGTATAATTCGATTCCCCGCCGCGTTTCGAGGGCACCGAGCCAGAAAGAAACGTCTGATTTATACTATTTCTCGCGAGCCGAGCGATACGAGGCAACGTATTACAATACGTTACAAGCGTCCCGGATAAAGATTTCTCAGCCGAGCGCGGCGATACGACGCGAAGAAGATTTCTCGCGAAAATTAAGTTTCTCGCGAAAATGTGATCGTAGCTATCTCAATAGCCTCGTGTAGTAAAGGCCTGCCCGCCGTTACTTTTTATCACGAACGGGAGAAGCTTAATACGACGGCAGCACCGCGAATTTCCCGCGAGGAGGCCGAAACTCTTTTACGAGGCATCGACGAGGGCGAACAAAGTTTTCCGCGTTAGCGCGACGTCGCGTAAAACAAAAGAAGCGAGAAGGGGAAGGAAAAGGGGGGGGAGGAAAGAGAAAGAGAGAGGAGAGAATATTTCCTACACATCGCCGGGACTCGTTTTGGATAAGTTTCGCACTAAGTTGGACACGGCTCTCGCAGGATTTCAAAAATTACTTACCAACAAGTCCGCCGGGAAGGAGGTAGACTAATTTTCCGAGAGGTTCGTGACCTGAAAAAACAACGAACCGTTTGATACGTCGCTCGCCTGCGATTCGTAACTTTACTTTATAAAATTAAAGCTCGAGAGACGTGTAAAAGTACGCGACGAGGGAGGGAAGGGGGGAGGGACAAATCAATGTGCGGCGCATCGCGCGCGGGACCTGCCTCACCTGTAATGCACGAGCTGCGGAGTTTCTCCCCGATGGGGATTTGCAGGTAACACCACCTTACCACCGCACTATAAATTTCATGACCTTTATCATCACGTTTATTACACCTGTCTTAATCCGCGAGCATAATGAATGAACTAAACAGGTTACGAAACCCGATATTACTGTGATGTAGCTCTATCAATTCGTACGCGGAAACGCGTTTTGGAAAAATAGGGAGGCAGGTGGCAGCATTTCGACTTCCCCGCACACGTAGCCGTCACAGAGATCATCTCTCCGAGGGACAACTGTGTTATTTATAGTCCAATTAATTACGTGTCATTGCGTACGTGAGGGACTTCAGTTCTCGTCGATCGATAGCCTGAACTTTCGGGTCCACGGATCCCGGCTCGGCTCGGATCCCAGTTATGAGAGAGTCGCGGAGTGTGATTAGCTCGTAACAATCTCAGACAGCACGGGGAATTATATTCGCCACGGTTGCGCAACGCGGTAGTTACAAAGCCAGATACGGTAATGAGCGGTTTCTCACTCCGCGAGGTAACGCGCGGACCGGAGGGACTAAAGATTAATTCCG